ATAAATAAAAGCTTCAACAAAATCGTTTTTCTTTTCTTTCGACTAAAATTTTATCGATCTCTCATTCTTTTTTCCACAATTTCAAATTTTTTTAAAATAATTTAAACATTGAGAGGTCGAAAAAACACAGACACACATTAACGGATACACACAAACACAGAAAAAAGCTTACTGAAACTTAAAGACATAAATCTTCTCGATAATCTTATCGTTGTTATCACCATTCAGTTTGTTACTTAATCATATAGCCTGATAAAAACTACAAACTTATAGTTATTAAAAATTTTACAATCACTTTTCATTTTCTATTCTATTTTTTTTCACCTACAGCAGACTAATTGGATGACAATTACAACTGTTTTTGATGGTCACTTATACGATTCTCCGTTACTGTACTAAAAAAGTTTTGCCAAAAGATTCTAAAATATTTGCCAGGAAGTAGGAAGAATTGCTTCTCAAGCCGATTTCATCTGTCTTTTTTCTTCTCATATATTTTCTGTGGCAAAATCCCAAATTACTAGTCTCAGTCGACGGTCTCAGCTAGATATTTGGACATCGCAGATGCTGCTATCTTCAAGTTACAGAACTTTAAGCCAACGCAGTTTCTCCATTATTATCTACCATATCCTTCGTCATTATTTCAACGGTAATGTTTTCCACTTGACGTCTGATGCAGACGGAATCCTTATTTCCACTCTCGAAGATCTCTTTCTGTCATCTTCTTAACAGAAAACTCAAATTGAATTTCCGTTTTAGCAGCTGTTTTCTCGCAACAAGTCGGTAAACATGAATAAATTTATCGGCGACCAACAGAAACGTATCAATAGTGAAGGATGTAAGGTATTCAATTCAGTATTTGCAGCTATAACATCGACAGCAGCAGCAGCTGAGATAATGTATGCTATTCTTTCTATTCAACCAACATTCGAAGATGCAGAAATTTTCCTTTTTTTTTTTCAGGCTAACAATTTCAGTAAACTGTGTCTTTTCTTTTTTTTGATGACTGATAAGCAGCGGCAGGATTATTTAGAGCATTTTTTTGTTTTCAATACAAAATTGGCAGATACCTTATCAAAGTGCCATAAAAAAGTTGATAAAAGCTGTAAAGAAAAAAAAAAAGCTTGAAGGCTGAATGATAAGGAATTCATGCAATTTTTTAACATTTTAGAAAAAAGACCGACCTCAAATTCTCGGCGTAATACTGGACCACCACTACCAATGTATATTTTATGCGCATCGTTCATACGAAGTTGTTTAGGGTGTTTTTTCACCTAAAAAAATAAAAAATCAAAAAAGTTGCAGATGAAAAAATTGGTTTGTTGAATCAGCAGATAAAATTTAAATATTCTTAAAACCATATTACATTTTTTTTTGTTAGATGAAGTAAAAAAAAGCTCAAACTACTTCAGCAAACTTTTGACTTTTTCAAAAAAATTGTTTTTACGGAAAAAAAGGTGTCATCATTGTTAGCACTCCTGGTTATTCAGTATCCCAAACTGTTCAGTCTTCTGTTTCATCATTATTGCAAAACTGATCTAACCAAAACTCACTGGACGTTCAATTGCAAATCTGGTACATTTGAAGTACAGAACAACACTTTCGCCACTGACTTCTATACCAATTTTTGTCCATTTTCCAGTAAAATCTGGAACCAGAAATGATGCCAGTGTTTTTGTTTCTGATGCTGTCATCGAATCCGTGTATTGTAAATGTATGTAAGTTTGATTTCCGCCTGACGAACTATCTGTAAAAGCAACAACAGCAGCAGTTAGTTTGAAACTAAAACCAGAACTAAAGAAAAAAAAAAAAA